AAATCACAGAATGAAGAAAAGCCGGCAGGGCAAGCAAACCCTCCCTACCCCTTAGCTCAAGGTCTGGATCCGCCACTGTTAATGATGGAGGAAGAAACACTTGTTGCATTTGCGATAATTCTGTTTCTTTCTTTTTTCGTCGACGATCGACGGCGTCGTCGAAGGAAAAAAGGGACAAAATGTCAGAAGAGAAGAGCGCGTCTGATCTTTCAACAAGAAGCAGCGAGAGCACACGGCCAGAAACACAGCCTCGTCAGAGAAAATAGTGCTTGTGTTGGACTGGGTTTGACAATTGTTAGGCCGTTCTGATTGGTTCCCTGTTGTGTTTGTTATGACAATGTTGTTCACATAATAACATAACATCATAACGACATAGATATAACAACATAAGGAAAAGATCAGTTTTTTCCTTATGTCGTTATGTTCATGCTGTTATGTTGCTAGTCATAATGTCAGCATGTCCGCATTGCAAGCACAAGGTCATAACGTCCTTCTTATGTCGTTATGTTTCGGTCGCTATGTCGTTACGTGTGGCAAGTGTGAAGTGTATGCTATTGACTACGTAGACAAAATGAAAAAAAGCGCGTGGACTTTGTTCACTTGGTTCACATGGTTCGCTTGATACATTTAATTCACCTGGTTAGCGCCATTCACTGTGACCTGCCTCACGTCCTCTTCTTCGACATGGTTTACCTTGTCAGTTCACTCGGATTACTTCGTTCATCTGTTTCACTTGGTTCAGTTGGGTATTCTACGTCACGTGATTAACGTAACATGATGCAGTTGGGTTGCATTGTTTACTAGGTTCACTTGGTTCTGTTAATTTACTTCACTCTGACTCTGATCACCCGGCTTTGTCCACGTGATTTATCTGGTTCAGTTGATGATTGTACTTGTTCGCTTGGTTCACTAGCTTGGTTCATTATTTTTAACATGGTTCAGACGGTTCACATGATTCTCTTAATTCCCACTCGTTTACCTTGTTTACTTTTATAACAATGTACCGGCCTGATTAATTTAGTCTTCACTCTGCTCACTTTGTTCTTTCAACTCGTTAAGAAATCGTGGCCACGTTGGAAAAATCGATTTTGCTCATACTTTGCCAGTTTGAAGGCCTGGGTAAGTAACTGAAGGAAATCAAGTTAGTTTTTT